CCCCCCCCCCATGTGGAGAGTGGGGATTTTGCGAGTGTCACATCCCGTAAATATAAGGAAGATTTGGGGCATGTTCAGAGTGCTCAAACGGATGACCCATACTAATTCCTTCTATTATTGAGTATTTTTCAAGTATTTAAGTTTCTTAATGATATTAGAATTCAGTGATCCTGGGCTCGTTGGATTCGTCTTGCTGAGCCACTCCGTTCGATTATAAGCATGCTATATTTGGATATAATTTTGCCATCCAATAAATGCCTTGAACCTTCCCAATATGCTTTAGACTCTTAATTCAGGTCTATTTGTGCTCGGATTGGACCAATTTTTGTGTCGTTGGGTTCACCTCTTCAAAACATTCTATCTTACTATAAGTTTGCTGAAATCGGAGTTCTTATGGTCTAACATTAAATTTTGAAAGTTTCTGAGCTGAATATGGCTCGAGATTCATGCTCGATCAAAGTAATTTTTGGTGATGTATTAACACTTATGATGATTTGGATTATCCATATTAATTAATGTGATTGATTAGCAACGGACCATGCATCATGATTGAAGGGGCGGGCCACAAGTCGCAAAAATCATAAAGCATGTAGATATTAATTGAGATCAAAGTCATGATGCAAATAATCAATCACTCAAAAGTACAATCTTGATTTTCTCTAATCTGAAAGTGATCAGATGATTATAAGCTTAGAAACACAAATATATTATATCAATAATCAATCTCACTGAAGAATGATCAATCATCTCCTTTGAAAATTCCTCCTATTCTTGATTACAGTCCAAACTCAAATACTTCATGGTGGGTGTAATTTGTCCAAAAGCTATGTGCTAATAGTCAAACAAATAAACAATAAAGATCAACAATCTTAGACTTTTTTGTCACAACAAATCAACTAAAGAGCAATAACGTATCCTCTCAACCTCAATGATTGGAGTTAGTAGCTGACACACATCCCCTCAATCCCCCCTTAGATGCTTTTCTTTTTTTTTTTTTTAGAACAAGGATATCTATCTGTTGTCATCCATCTTATGAGGCGTTTGGCGGCGTAACTAATTCCTCAGCGAAATTATCATAAACCAACCACACGTGCAGAACCCGCTGTTATTTTCTTCCCGCTTAAAAAGTCATGCTGCATGAGAGGGGATTCGAACTTGGGTTGAGATATTTCCAACCATACTCACCCACTAATCAGCCCAGTGGGATGAGATGCTAATTCTTACAATCCAATATCCAATCTCTCCTACTCATAAGCTTAAACTATTGGATTGAAAATAAATTTGTTCAATTTTATATAAAATAAACCTTGATAAATTTTCTTGTATGCTTTCTAAAGAGTGATAATAGAATGATAGCTCAGTTGTATCAAGTGATTAATACTTCTCAACGCAACTTAACCTGATATATTAATTAGAGTTTTGACTATTAATCAAAAAAAAAATTGATTTGAATCTTGTTTATGTGATGTGCATGATTTTATCGTAATTGATCTAAATATCCTAAACAATTTATATTTATCAATTTATTATTTATGGAATAAGCTTCAAAAATGGTAAGGGACTCTAGTACATTTGATTAGGTTTTTTTGGTGCCTAACGATATGCATTGTTTAAAAGCTTCGATATTCCACCACCTCAGACTTCACGAAGAAGCCGAAGCAGCAGAGATGGGATCCTTCGCTACTGCTTCTATTCCCATACTCTCATTTCTTCTTCTCTCTTCTTCCCACTGCTTAGAAACAAAAACCAACAAAATAAGCAAAAATCAAGCGATGATTTTGCCGCTGAGAACGCAGCAGCTTTCCCCGCCGCTTCCTCTTTCTCGACCATCCAACAAGCTTTTCTTCCACCACAACATCTCCCTCACCGTCTCCCTCTCCGTCGGAACTCCACCGCAAAACGTCTCCATGGTCCTCGATACAGGCAGCGAACTTTCATGGCTTCTCTGCAACTCCTCCTCTGACCACTCCTTTCATCCCCTCTCCTCTTCCTCTTTCTCCTTCGTCCCTTGTTCCTCCCCCACCTGTCAAACCTACCTCCCCTGCGACCCCTCCTCCCGTTGCCAAATCTCCCTCTCCTACGCCGACGGATCCAGCTCCGACGGACTCCTTGCCGCTGACCTCTTCCTCCTCCCCGCCCACAAAGTCGCCGCGTTTGGCTGCATAACCACCTCCTTCTCGTCCTCCGCCTCCGACCCCACCGCGATCGGACTACTCGGCATGAACCAAGGCCCCCTCTCTTTCATTACTCAAACTTCCATCCGCCGTTTCTCTTACTGCATCCCTGCCGCAGCCGACGCGGCCGGTGTCCTCGTCCTCGGTGACGCCAACCTCGTCTTCCTGCCCCACTTAAACTACACTCCCCTATTCGAAATCTCACTTCCTCTACCCTACTTCGACCGCGTAGCCTACTCTGTTCAGCTCGAAGGCATCCGCGTCGCCGGCGAGCTGCTTCCCATCCCGAAATCCGTGCTCGTACCGGACCACACTGGCGCCGGACAAACCATCGTCGACTCCGGCACGCAGTTCACGTTCCTACTCGGCCCTGCTTATTCTGCGCTAAAAACCGAATTTTTAAGGCGGACGAAGGGGTTGCTGAAGGAATTGGGGGAGCCGGATTTTGTGTACCAGGGGGCGTTCGACGCTTGTTTTTTGTTGCCGGCGTGGAGATCGGCGCCACCGGATGGCATTCCATCGGTGGCTCTGGTGTTGCCGGGGGCGGAGGTAGTGGTCGGCGGCGAGCGGTTGCTTTACCGGGTTGCAGGCGAGCGGCGCGGTGGGGACGCGATCTGGTGTTTGACGTTTGGGAACGCAGATTTGGTGCCGATTGAAGCGTACGTGATTGGGCATCACCATCAGCAGGACTTGTGGGTTGAGTACGATTTGGACCGAAGTCGGGTTGGGTTTGGACCGGTTCGGTGTGAGCTTGCTAGCCAGCGGATCAGTGCCGGTCTTTGAGTACTTGTTGGACCGGCTGGTTTGAGATATTTTTGGTAGGGTTTGTTTGGGGACAAGATGGTGTTAATGCGAATTTAACAAGTTGTATTTAAAGAACATATTTCATTCTACTCAGATTTATTATTATTATTATTATTATTTTGAAGGTTGAATAAGATGAAAATATTAGAGGAGGATAAAAAATTACCCTCGTGCAAATATTTATATTATATTATCAGATAAAGATTTTGTTGGTTAAGAAATAATTTCACATAGTTAAATATTAGGATCTGGTTGAGATAATTTTTTAGGGATTTTTATATTTACTTATCTAACACCCAAAGTATACTATTTAGTATTTACACAACTACAACCTAAATACACCATGTTTCATTTACAATACAACTCCCTCAGAACTCCATCCAACTCTACCTTTCACTCGTGAAATCTCTTCTTTTTCGTCGCTGGAGTGTCTATTCGACCCAGCGACGTGTGAAGAGGAAGACAAATCTTCATTTTTCCACCCCAAAATTCACTAAACTTGTGACGCCACCGGAGCAGGAAGTCGCGACAAGAGGTCGCTGGAGAAGGCAATCGACGGCAGTAGCGACAAATGTGTGAATATGAGCTTTAGATTATGTTTTTTAAGTCACCTAGTTCCAGTTTCTCTCCATGAATTACATAATTTCAGTTTTGTTTATTCTCTATTTGTCAACTTGTAATGCAGAATGCAACACACATAGGGCAGCTTTTTAGCTTTGATGTAGGAAACACAAACAAACTGCATCAGGGGGCGGAACCATAGGTTCCTTAGGGGGCGGGGGGAATTGCCCCCCCTCAAAAAAAAAAAATTGCAAAAATTTGCCTCTCCTAAAAATTTATTTTTGCCCCCCCCCCCCTAAAAAATTCTTTTGTCCTAAATTTCCCTAAAATATCTATATATTTCTTTACATTTAGTTCTAATATTTTCTTTCAAGCTTTTCATGACAGTTTAATTACACATTTTTCTTTATTTTTCTTGCTTAATTTTTTTTTTAAAAAAAATTCGTAATATATAGACATATAATATTATTATTTTTTAATATTTAATTATTCATGTGTTGTATTTGCCCTCCCTCAAAATTGAAGCTGGTTCCGCCCCTGAATTTTACTGCATGCTGTATTCAAGGCATGGTTACATACTACAGTGGTTTATAGTTACATTTATATAAACATAAGAAAGAAAAAAAAAAGAATTTGGTTGCCAGAGGAATCATGAGATTCTTGATCACTGTAGAAGCCGTCTGCAGAGTAGAGAGGTGGAGGATGGATTGATCACTGACGAGCCGACTAAATTCAAGAAAAAGAAGAGTAAAGAGAAGCTGAAGCCCCTATCTACCGGCAATGGAGTTCTCGTACCTATGATATCTGCAACTAGATGATGCCGAGGAGGAAAACTATGTTTTCTTTGTATAGGAGATGAGCGCTCCCAAGTTGAGGAAGATATAAAGGGTCAAGATGATGAAAACGCCCCAGGCGCTTCGTTCTGTCAAGCCTTACCATGACATCAATGAAGATGGAAGCGGGTGGAACTCGATTCCTAAGCCGTCTAGACACTCGAGCGACGAAGAATAAGGGATTTCACGCGCAAAAGGTAGAGTCGGGGCGGAGTTCTAAGGGAGTGGTATTTTAGATGAAACAATGTGTATTTTGGTGGTAGGTATGTAAATAATATACTTTGGGTGTTAGATAAGTAAATATATAAGTTTTGAAGTGTTATATATGTAAAAATCCTTTTTTTTTATTGTTTTGTTTTTGAAATTGCTATCAAAGTATCATTCATGTATTATTTATTTGTGTTTTTTTTTTTTTAATTCTATGATAAGAAGCTGTTTTTACAACCAGAATTATAAATGTGCATTTACTTTAAAAAAATTATAAATATTCATAATTACAAAAAAACTGTAGCCGATAAGTTTCTTTAGATCAAAGAGAGAATCAAGTTCGGTAACAATAATAACGTTGCAAAACAAAGAAAGCTAAAACAAAGTATAAAACAGAAGCAGTTGACATAATCGATGTACCAATAAGATTAGAGAATGAGCAACCATGAAATGGGCATCATATGTTCATCATTGATGGACATCAATTATTGGAAAATTGTTAAATGATGATCAATGTGGAACATTGGAAGTCACAATAATAATGGAGGATTTGCTTAATTATTCTTTGATAAAGGGAAGGCATGTAAGGTAACTACGAAGACGGGCATTAGACGCATATCATTATTTCTCATCAAGCAACAATAATTTTTTTTAAACATGTTTAAAGCTCTATATTTCTATCTCTTAATAATTATCCTCTGAATATGTAAGGGCATAATCTATTTATTGATATCAAAATGTTAGATGTTGATCAATGTATGTGAAGAGATGTAGGTTTTGGGGACCTAAGGTTAAGATTTTTAAATTTTTTTTTAAAAAAAATCTACATATAACAGGCATGTGAAATTATTTTGGGGGCCTATAGTTGGTTCAAACCTTGAGCATCTAGTTCAATATTATAATTGTTATTAATCTCCTCTTGAATGTTGTATGATTTGGAGATGAATTAAGTGAAAGTTGGTGGTCATGCAATGCTCAAATCCAAAGAGGGTTGCTCACTTGGCCTGGGCAAGTAATGATCATTGAGAGTAAGGCTCAAACAATGAGCCAATCCTAACTAGTCCAGTGGAATAACAATTTTCAAATGGATAAGAGGAAAAAAAAAAAGGCCCTGAGACATTACTTAGCTGAAGGAATTCTATTAGTACGAATCATAAGTTATCGATATATTTATTCACATTTGAGAAATATGTTGATACAATACTGTAAATGTAAAATATAGATGATCGCTTTTAAAGTGAAATTTTGAGTAATAAATTATTGACAGTTTGCTTGATCATTTTTTTAAAGGAGAGGAGATTAGAGATAAAAAAGCTCAACATAAATCTTAGTGTTGATGTCAAGCACCGATATTGGTGACATTCTTAAGCATTAGCATTGTTGTTGGTGTAAATTTTATATCGATGTGTATATTGATATTGATTTTAATAACATGCGTCATCTTATTAGCAATGCCGAGATTCATGATTGATTGCTTCGATCCGAATGAGTCGAGTACTATTAGAATTTTATTCAAGCTTGTTCAACTCAATATTGTTGTGAAAAAGTTCATTTTGAATGTAAGTTGGCATTATCAGGAGATCATGTTGTCAAATTTACTTTGATTTAGGCCCATTTGGTGTCGCACCATGACATTTATATTGTTTGAATAATTTCATTATAAGTATTTATTTCATCTATGAATTTATTAAAAATCGAATTTAGATAATCACAAATTTAAATTTTAAAGCATTTAATATATTACATCAAATTTATATCTGATTAATTTTCTCATTTAAAGTTTTCTCTCGGCAATTATTGTTAAGACAACTTTACACGTCAGCATTAGTTTGTTACATTGCTTCTTTAATTCTTTAAACTTCATGTATCTATAAATAGGACCGCCGGCTGTAACAGGATATTATGAAAATATAATTCTCTAGTTTCCTTCTACGTCTTCTTCAAGAAGATATCTCAATCCCATCTTCTCCTCAAGCTTCATCTTCTTGCTCATCAGCAAGAAATCTTTTATGGTATCAGAGCTCTTTGCTCCACAGCCCTCTTCATCCGCTCGCTTCCTACCGGAGACATGGCTGAACCAGAATCAGCAACCTCAAGAAGAACCACTTCCGAAATTTCAGAAAGTCTCGCAGAATTCGTCATTCCCACCCCTCTTAAATTTCTAATCAGCAACATCAAAACACTGGTTCCCACACAGCTCTCCACCGAAAACTACTCGATCTGGAGACTGCAATTGCATCAACACTTTACAGCAAATGGCTTTGGCGATCATCTCACGGGAGTCACAGTCTGTCCGCCAGCTTCCAACAAGAAAGAACACAGTCTCTGGACTCTCATTGATCGAAATCTCATATCCGCTCTTTTCTCTACCATATCTCCCTCCGTTCTTCCTTACGTCCTCACGCTCAAAACGGCTCACGATATCTGGATCACACTCGAGAAAAGGCTTCAACCAACAAATAGATCAAGAGTCATTCAACTCAAGAATGAACTCCATCAGATCCAGATGAAGGATCGAACCATGAATCAATATCTTGATCAAGTCAAGAATCTGGTAGATAACATAGCTGCTGCAGGATCGCAAGTAGACACGGAGGACATCATCATGTATATCCTCAACGGATTACCGGCTATGTACAATTCGTTCAAGACGGCAATAAGGACGTCTCTAAATCCAATCAGCCTCGACATCTTGTATTCCCTTCTTTGCAGCGAGGAGATCAACCTCCAACACCAACGATCTCAAGAAATCAATCCCCAATCTGAGACGGTGGCGCTCTTCTCGGCCCGATCCACGGCCAACAGAGGACGATTCAACAAATGGAGAGGTAAACCGAACTTCACAAGGAACACCTCTCTAACCGATCATACCCAAACTGTCAACACTCAGGGAATACGACCAAGCTGCCAAATATGTGGCAAGAACGGGCATACCGCACTCAACTGTTGGCACAGATGCAACCTTCAATACGCGCCTCCGTCCAATCCTAAAGCCTTAACCGTTCAACAACAATCTGCTTCCACCGGCGACTGGATCTTGGATTCGGGAGCATCGTCTCACCTGACACCCGATACAGCTAATTTCCAACAATCAAATCCATATAACGGGCTTGAATCGGTGTCAATAGCCAACGGGAGCAATCTGCAGATACAGAACTCAGGAAACGGTTTGCTCCCACTCCCAGAATCCCACCGTAAGCTTAAGCTCAGTAACATGTTACATGTTCCTGAACTTGCACACAACCTCTTATCTATTTCTAAACTCACGTCTGATAACAACGTTTCTGTATCTTTTGATTCTAACGGTTTCTCTATCAAGGATTGCCGGGACAATCGAACACTTCTCCGAGGTCCCACGCGTCATGGCCTGTATCAAGTCAGGCCCATCTCCAACAATAAAATCACGGCTCTACAAGCGGCGTCCAATCTACACTTCCGGTGGCACTCCAGACTAGGCCATCCATGCGCGCGAACTC